ATCCAGGAAAAGGTTAAGTTCCCTATGCAGACAGGGCACATGGCTGAATGCAGACGCTCGCCTTGGAGCGGATGGGCCTGCTGGGCCAATTCACCCAGTCTTCTGCCCCAGAGTGTGCTGGCCTCTGGCTACAGGCCAGCTTTTCAGCAGCAATAGCCTGCTCCCAGTTACTTCCTCCAGGGCCTTCTGGGGCTGCCCAGAAAGTGCTGCCCTCCTCAGGCAAAGGTGGGGGACAGGGCCCTGGCCTCATCTCTGCATGCATACTCCATAGCACCCACACCGTAAGACCAGCCTTCCTCAGAAAGCTAAGGACTACTGCACAAGCAAACTGACCTCGATGCAAAAGGTCAGTCAATCATCCGACAGTCCTCTCCTCTCCCTCTGTGCCATCCTCCCACATTAAAACCACTGAGGAAAATTAGTTGTCAGCACTAGTCTACTTGGCATTTTTGCGGTAGATCAAGGAAATCCTGGATCTTACCAAACATTGTCCGAAAGATTTAAAATTGTGTATGTAGATATAAACATATGTATATATAAATAAAACTCCATATAATTATGGCAATGTTTTTCCCTTCCTCTTCCTCTTTTCCCACCCCCTTTCCCTTCTCTCAATTTCTCAGACAATAAGTGGGAAACAACATTTTTTTTTTCCCAGCCAAAAATTAATTCCTGCTCACAGCTTCCAGAAAGGGTCAAGTCTAAAGGAAGCATCTGGTAAATTTGCTTTTGTATTGCAGTGGGAGCCGTAGCCCTCACGTCCCCTTCCCTTTGCACCACTGAGCGCAGCAAGCGCTCGTGCCACGCTGGGAAGGCTTTGCTCTGCTGCACACATGCACGAAGACACACTCTGCGTGACTGCAGGCAGCCCTTAGATGGAAGCGGCTAGGTATGCTGTATGCACAGACAGAGCAGGTCCCACTCACCCCAGCAAGTTTTCCAGTGGCTTTTTTTATTCCCCTGACTGCAGATGGACTCTTCAGCTACTCAGTCAGGTGGTTTGCTTGCGAGTTACATGATGAGGGTGTGTGCTTGCAGGCTCAAAGTCACAGCATTGGATCCTACTGTGTAACATACTGAACCAACCAAAAAAAACCCAACTGGCTTCTCTCAGCCCATCCAGGGACAGGCAATGAATGAAAGGAGACTGGGCCTGATCCTCAAGCACACCCACAAATGGCTCCAGTCCTGCAGGTCAGTCTGTGCATGTGCCCAAAGTCGGTCAAACACTTCATAGAATAAGGAGAGGAATTGCCATGACTTTAAAATAACCAGGAAAGCTGTCAGCAAAAAAATAAGGACTTATTTTCCTCTTCACACATACAGAAAACTTCGAAAGCTTTAGAAAATGTACACTCTGCCTCTTACAGTTTCTTACTATATATACAAAGGTCGTAGCAAAAGCAAACAGCAGAAAAGGCACTTCTGGTCACAGTGAGCAACAGTACCTCCAAAAACATGATCTATATTGGGAGTGCAGCAGGAGAAAAAGCATCTTCTTTAACTTTAACTATTCCGTAACTGGGCCATAAGCATCAGCAACTGCTATAGCTAGCAGCTCCTGAGCCAGCCCGAGCTCTTCTTCTGGCCAAGATGGTGAGAGAGTAAAGAGCAGCAACTCACTAACCTTGCAACACAGTTCAAGGGGGAAGTAACTCAAGATTCAAATTCCTAGCAGCAATACCACCTGTAGAGCTTACAGTCCTATATATTATATGAACAGGATTGCTCAAAAATCAGACCAAAAGTAAGAAGAGATTAAAAAACAAACCCAGAAACCTATGAGAGCCGTAGGGTGCTGAGACCTCAGAAAAGAAGCTCAGCACACTCCAAGATTGCCACATTAAAAAAGTAGACTGGTAATGACCACCTTGCTTTTATGCTGCAGAAAACACTCTCTGCTTTGTGTGAAAGCTGAATGTATACGTGTCTTGATATATACTGGAAAATGCATTTTTTGCAAAAATCTTCTTACGTTCATTATCTAGTTATTTCTCATCTGTTCTTTTTCAGCAAGTAGCTTTTGCTATCAAGAAATTATATGCAAGTCCTTCTGTACACAACATGGAAATTCCCATGGCTGTCACTTCATAAAATTGTATAACGTACAGAATAAATGTTTCATAAATATGTTTTATCTCGTAGAGGTAGTAGGTCCAGTCCTCTGGTTTGCTAAGGATACTTCACGAGTCTGCTTTGACTAAGCAGTGAAATGTGTGCTGGTTTTGGCTGGGGTAGAGTTAATTTTCTTCACAGTAGCTAGTATGGGGCTGTGTTTTGGATTTGTGCTGGAAACAGTGTTGATAACACAGGGATGTTTTCGTTACTGCTGAGCAGGGCTTACACAGAGTCAAGGCCTTTTCTGCTCCTCACCCCACCCCACCAGCAAGTGGGCTGGGGGTGCACAAGGAGTTGGGAGGGGACACAGCCGGGACACCTGACCCCAACTGACCAAAGGGATATTCCACACCATATGACGTCATGCTCAGCATAGCTGAGCAAAGCTGGGGAAAGAAGAAGGAAGGGGGGGACATTTGGAGTGATGGCGTTTGCCTTCCCAAGTAACCCTTAGGTGTGTGATGGAGCCCTGCTGTCCTGGAGATGGCTGAACACCTGCCTGCCGATGGGAAGCAGTGAATGAATTCCTGGTTTTGCTTTGCTTGCGTGCGCGACTTTTGCTTTACCTGTTAAACTGTCTTTATCTCAGCCCAGGAGTTTTCTCACTTTCACCCTTCTGATTCTTCCCACCGTGGGGGAGCGAGCGAGCGGCTGGGTGGTGCTTAGTTGCCGGCTGGGGTTAAACCACAACAAAATGCTACTCTAAAGAATCCCCTGTTGTAGCTGTAAGTTTAGACTGTGAAATTAGAAAGAGGTAGGACCTGCTGTTCCTGTCTTCCAGCACGATATTCTGACAGAAAGGACCTGCTGGACCTTAGGTAGTTCGACATTAAAAGACAGTCAATTTTGAAACTGTTGAGCTTTGCTTTCCTTATCACAAAACAAAACAAAAAAACCACCACCACCAAAAACCCACCCAAAACCGAGTTTAGAATGAACGTGTATACGGTCCACAGCTTTTGAGGGTAGAGAGAGCACAGGCAACCACTGAGGAAGTTTAAAGCCACTTCCCTTCTGCCACAGACTTTAATTGAGAAGCAGCTGGGAAATTATTCAAAGTTATTTCAATTTCTTGGTGGGCCATGGTTCCATCAATGTAAGAGGCTAAGTTTTCCTTATATTTTAAGGGCTTCATCAAAATCAATGAAAAGATTCCTTTGATAATGGTGCCCTTCGGATCAGTCTATAACAGATCATTACATGTGTAGCATTTAAAAGACCGAGGCCAAGACCCTGCCAAGCAAATGAGGGCGTAAGTATTTCTACTTGTTCAAGAGCAAAATATAATTGTATTGTGTGCACAGTTAGATTTTATATGTATTTGAAGAAATGCATTTCAACTCTGTACTCTTTATTATTTTTACTGTCATTCCCCATATCTTCCTGTTACATTAACAGGAAAATAATAAGAACCCAAGCAGCTGTAAAAACCTACTCTTCAATTCCTTCCATCATTTGTCTGAAAATAAGGGTGTTTGCTTTACAGCTCAAAATTAGTATGTATCAAGGTTTCAATTTTATGCCAGCTTCTGTTGTTTAAGCACCATTTCACACCAACTATAATAAAAATCACAAACTCCTATATCCAACCTTACTTCATTACTGAAATGCGGAAGTTAATCAAGGTACAGATTCAAGAGAGCACTGGCCCTGATTCTGTGTTGGGTGGTTGTGTGATAGATATGTTGCTCTTCCCCTGCACCCACATGAGACGCTGTGTAAGAACAACCTGCACGAACAACCTTGTGCTAAAATGGAATATCCCCTGGTTCATCCTTGTACAGACCCATTCTGGTTAGTGAATTTTGGTACTGTCGGCCATAGGTTCCCTTCTTACTTCCCAGTGCTTGTATACAATGTGCGTTATCCTACCTGTTTTAAAAGACCCATAACAGCTTCAAGTTGTAATTCAGGCCTTCTCCTCAGGAACTATGGGCCTTATCAAGAAAATGCATGAGCCAAAAGCAAAGAAAGAAGTCCTTCGTCAGTCTACTGGACCCAGTTTCAGGGTGCTCCGCACCACGAGGACGGAAACATCAAATGAACTGTGCCAGCTCAAGCCCAGCTTTGGAGGAGGCCAAGCTGAGCTTGAATGCACAGAATCACTTTTTCCATTTTTGGGTGGGCCTGAGAAAACGTCTTTGCCCATTCATCTCCCTGCCGAACGTAGCCTATGAAGAATGAAAGCCAAGATGGCCCTGTGTGAGAACCAGCGGTCAACTTGGTAAATAACTGGTTTTTGCACATCTGTTTGAGCTTTCCGTAACTCATTAGCAATGAGATGGCATGCAGATCAAGAAAGGTGAAAAGGCTATTCAAACCCAGAACTATTTCTCTATGAACACATTTGCTGTGGCTTTTGAAAAGTGCATACTTATCAATGAAAAAAAATGTTTTAAACAAGTTATTGCAGTGCAAAAGATGACACCTCCCGCTGTGGGTTTGCTCAGAGCATTACTGAGGCATGCCGTTCAATTCAAGGCTCAGCAAATATAGCCCATTATACAGTCCTTTGCATATTTACAGTAGCGTGCGAAGCATTATTAATAGCTTACACCACTGTCTTTCCTTCATCAGCAGGAGGTAGGTCTGGCTAGTGAAGTATAACTGGTAATCTATTTTATATATGGATAACATACTCTTTGGAATGCTTTGCTATAACATTCAGTTCTTGTTTGCTATTCGTTAAATGTATTGTTTGAAATGCTACCACCAGCTATTCATTCTTTTTCTGCGCAGCGGTGCCATGACAACCCCCACGTGACCGGCTGCAAACATACCACAAGTCTCCAGGGCTTTGCTTTAGGAAAGGCTCAGACTGGTATTACTCATACTTTTTTTTTTAAAAAGCCCAGATTCAGAGATGCTTCATTTTGTGCAAGATGCATCGAGCCTACCAGCCAATTTTACCGTGCGGCAACAAATATCTTCAGCTAAAATGGGACAAAGCAAAGTATGAAGAACACAAGAAAAGGGTAGGTACAACTGTTTGATAAAGAGCAGAGGCCTTCACGAAAGAATATGCTTACCCAAAAAGACTTCAGCATTTCTCTACTCATTCTTAAGACTGTCATGAAAGCTACTGATCAGCAATAAGGTACAAGAGACACATTTTAAGAATGTCCAGCAAATATAGGTATAGCTTTTGTGTCCATTTAGAAGTGAAAAAGATTTGGTCAGTCATCTGCTCCAAATCAGTAATAATGCAGGACCACTCCCTCTTGAAAATCCGTTAAGTAGCGAATACCGTCAGCGATGATTGCTACCTTAGGAAGATGGTATCACAATATAATTAGCTTTAATACAAATAAATAGTTCTTCATTATTTCCAGACCAGGTCTGTTTCATTGACTGTATAAAAATATCTTCCTTCCTTCCTTCCTTCCTTCCTTCCTGCTTCCTGCCTTCCCTCCATTGTTCCCATAATTTGTCTTGCGGGTAGAAAAAAGTTAAAGATGAGGTAGAGAATTGAATTTGGCATATTTTTCTAACCAAATTAACAATATTGAAATAAATTAACAAATTTCCTTCTGTGTGAGTTAACTTCAGGAGGCTCGCTATTGTATATAAGCATGACTATTTAAACAGTGTCTCTTTTAAAGCAGGGAACTGATACTAGTGTAGCCAAAATTCTCTGGGCATCCACTGTGCATACAGAACTCTGCTTTGTTCAGCGCACAGAGCACTTCATACATGCATTAAGGCATTCAGAGGCCAAGAATAGAGGTTAGATATCATCATGATATATAGTGAAGAAATGTATTTATAGAGAACCAAACATTTCCCACGACTCAGCTGCTCTTGGATTAAACACGAATGTTAATTTCTGAGTGCAAGCAAAGAGAAAGAGTAACTATCATGTTGGGCAAAGGATGGCTTAGAAGGTACAGAATTTTGTTCCTTCTTACAGGGTTCACACCCAGATCAAGTAGTGACTAACAAGGTCTCCAGTGGCCAAAGAGCGACCTTTTCAAGTGTCCCTGTGTTGTCATGCTGGCGCACTCCTAAATTCCCACACTAGTTGCCCGGAAATTTCACCGTGCCTTCCGCTGGCATGAATTCAGGCCTGCTGTGGTGAATGCCAGCTACCAGAGCAGCGGTACCCGCGGGCTGGGTAACTGAAGGCAGCAGGGCAATTCAGCAGGTTGTCCTGAATGACACAGCCCACATGCGGCACGGGCTCTTGCTCTGCCAAGAGAGACGGGGATCGCTCTGAGAAAAAATGTAAGGGCCTCTGCTTGGTGATGTGCAGACTTTGCATTGAAGGAGCTCACAACAACAAAAAAAAGATAAACCACCAAAAAGCAGAGCAAGAGAGAAAGGGGAAAAATAGGGAGCAAGGAAGGAAAAAAGGTAACATACAAAAAACCCAAAAAAGGTACACTTCTTGGAGAAGACCACTAAAAAGATGGCAATGGTTAGGAACAAGTTACAATTTTCTCCATGATGCAAAGGTACAAAAAAATACCAGCGTGTTTCTATGTACGCAAGAGCAAATACTTCCAGTCTGAATAATTTTGTTGTTTTCTTAATGGAAGAAAGGGACGGGGGAAAAAAAACCAAGTTATACCTCCTCTCTGCAACATTCTGCATAGAATTAAATATAAAATGGCTCCAAAAACACCATGGCTCTGGAAAGTGCCACAACAGAGATTAGGGTGGGCTTAAAAAATACCAGGTTTTACCTTTTACAGTTGTGCATATACAGACAGAAGAGAAATTAACCATAACACTTTCCAGAAAACGAATTTCACAGAAGAAATGTTGTTTCTAAACCCACCTTTTGTTGCTCAAGTTTGAAACAGTTTGCATATCTATAAATGAAAATCAGAGTTTGCATAAATATCACATTTTATTCTTCACACCAGTGATTTCTACTGACTGATACAATAACAACCCTCTTTTACAAATTGCATGTCTTCTTAAAGTTATTTTTAAAATAACTTCATAGCATGATAAGTTAAAGCACCTGAAGAAGCAGAGGAGCTAGCAGCAGCAGAAGCCAAAACCACCAAAACCCTCAGAGATTTACCAAGTTTAGTTCTGCTATCCAGTAAAAATCAGCTTCTTAACATGATGGGATCTAGAAAGGATTAAGATGAGCACTCTCATCTCCCCCTGAAATCAGCTGGAGTTGAGAGCAATCAGCCCCTTCTGGGATCCCACCTCCTCAGAGATGACTGCCACAAAAAAGCAGCTGAATGTTTTCACAAGAAGCCAAGCAGTTCAAGTGAATTTTGGACAAAGCTAGAAACTGCTGAACATTGCCCCAGTCAATGCTGTAAATTGTTCGCCCTGTTATAAAAGCAAGGAACCTGTCCTGGTAGTATGTATGACAGGTCTGCCATCAGGGGTTCAAGCCTGGTCCTCGGCTCATCACAAAGCTGCTACAGAAAGAGATGTGGAAAACATCTGCTGGACTCAGGCAGTGCTTTGGTCATGCCCTGCCGCGTGGGCTTTGCGTTGGTGCTGTGCCTGCTGCTCTTACCTGGCAGCCTCCTTTTTTTTAAATAGCAAGTGTTTCTCTCTTCTTTCTATATCGCTGAGTCTGCCTGAGATGGAACCACACCAAGTATGAGGTGTGACAGAGGGAGAATGTTTATCACATGTATTTCATGACAAAAATCATGGTATTGTTTTAACCAATCTGGTCTCACTCCCTGTAGGACCCCAGTCTGAGAGAGAGCGGTCTCCCCTCTAAATCCTGTCTTGCTCCACTCCCCGTTACCAGCTTTTCTTTCACGGGGTTTCTTCAGTCTGAGACAGCTCACAGATTATTCTTCTTCCTCATATATTGCATGGCTATTTAGATCAGGATGGAGATAAATATTATTGTGGCAGTGAACTACCAACTCCACTAGAATAATTAGATCCGCAATTTGCTTTTGATGATCATTCTAAAGTGCTAATAGGAAGAGGCCTGGGAATACTTTCAATACAAGAAGTCCTTTTCCAGTATTGCTCACCTCTTTCTGGCAGCATCCTAAATGTGCATCCCTTTGGAAGACCTGGCACAGCTTAGGAGTACCTAGGGCTTTCTTACACCAGCCTTTTTATTTCTGCTGGATGCCTAATAAAAACTGCTTGCCTTCTCTTATACAGTCTGTCCTGTATCATAACATCAACACCACTGTAACCGGACTGTATGTATTTTTACATTTCTCCAACATAAAGAGCACTTTGCATCTCCAGCAGACTTTTGAACAACTGCCTTTAACATTTTCATTTCCCACTACTCTTCTTCTGGGCAAGTCTGGCTTTGCTGATATAATGAATCATACGTTTAATAGTGTTACTGCTGGCTAACAAAACAGAACACGAGAATTAAAAGATTTCCCGTAATGATATGCAAGGGTATTTCCAACAAAAATGGATAAACATTTTATTTCTATTGCAGATCCAGGCAGCAAAACCATTAGTGGACACAAGTGCCCCTGCAACATATGGCCACCTTCATCTGAAGTTAGGGAAGCTGAAGGTATGGTATTAGTTATTTCACTGAGCACTAGCACGCTTACCTTCACGTCTCCTCTCAAAGACAACAAAGAGACTACCAGATGGTCACAATTTCAGGGCCTTTTTTTTTTCTCCTCGGTGCAGTGATTGTTGCGACACGACTATCAGGATCCGTGGATAGCACAATCCCAGCTGCATTAAATAACTTATTTTATCTTTATGATTATTGATGAAATCAGAGTGCTTCAGATTAACAAGTGCTAAAATGTTCAAATAGCCTCCTAAAAGGTACTTCTGCATGACCATGAAAAAAACATCGCAAGTAACAAGAATAGCACAATCAAGATACACACAGAGCAATGAACTGAATAATAGGATGTTAACATATTCAAAACACAAGAAATAACAATGGGTAGCCTTGACTGGCAGTTATCCTTCAAAATCTTACTGCTCCCAAGAGGCAAATTTTTATTAAAAGATGAGAGTGGAAAATAAATTGTTACCTAATTAACTCTGCTCACTAAAAGGAAACAACAATTAAAAAACCCCAAACATGAGCACAGTAGAAAATAGGCGCAGCTAAAGCCTGTCAAAGACTTAATTTCCAACACAGTGCCCCTCAGGCAATGGGAGCGTAGCCCATGTAAGGACTTCAGAATTAATTTCCTTAAAATTGTTTATCATCTTACTGTGCGACATAATCCCCAGGCACCTTAAAATCATTTCACTAGCAAAACAATTCATTTCTCCTCCATGCATAAAATCATATGCTATATTAGGACGTGGATTCAATTGCTGTTGTTAATTTTTTCCTATTACGGTAAAAACAACACTGATAAAGTTCCTTAGAAAATGAAACATTGCATAACCCCCCCGCAACACACAGGTTAACGAAAAAACCACCGACAGGAACCCACTAATCTTAGGCATGTTCCTTTGAACTACAGGTCCCGATACCTGGAAGTGAGACTGTGGTCCTAGCATCTTTCTCATCCTCCTCCTTTCCAAACTGCTACAGAAAAAAGGAAAAAAAAACAACCCACCTCTAATGTTGCAATCTTCTATTAACCAGTTCTTCTTTACAATCATTCTCCTCAAGGTTATTCAGAGCCTGATGGGATTACTTAATGCACCAGTTTTAGGTACCTTTATACTACAGTGTGCCCAGCATCTGACCCACATTGGTTATAAACCCCAGCAAGCAAAGCAGATGCACTAGATTCCCTACAGTAACTTGCTACTCTAACATTAGCCATCCAAAACTATCAGAGTTGGATGAGCAGGATTTCTTATTCGTTTTATACAGGACATGTAATATCTTTGGAGTGCATAGAATCAAATATGGGAAAAAAAGGGAGAAAGGAGAAGAGTTAATTAGTATGCTCAAAACAAGAGTATTTCTTCAGTGATTCTGTTCTGAGAGGCTTTTGAGAATGAGATGTTGAAGTCCAGCTATGAAAAGTGTGCTTTCTCTGCTTTCCTCCATCCAGCCTCTCTCTGGTTACCTCCAACTCAGCCCTGCTGGAGAAGGCATTCTTGGGACTCAGATAACCTTGAAAATAAGTTTTTCTTTTCACATCTCCCCCATTCCTTCCCAATCCCCACAAACACACTTTTAGCATGGAATGGTGTTCTTTGAAAAACAATATGGTAACATTTTTTACGAATTAGGCAATGCCCCGGGATATCTAAAGGGATTCTCCCTCCTCCACTGACTCTTTCAATTTTCATCCCACTTTTGACACAGTTAACTTCAGAGACTGAGATTATTAATATCTTCCATTTTAAAATCAAATTTAAAGAGGCTTAAAATCATGATAACGATGAAGAGATCTAGCTTGTACTGCCCGATATATCTCTCTCCGTTTGTTCGTTACACCCAGTTGTTGCTTCTCTTCTTACACTAGCCTGCAACCCCTCCGGGACAAAAATGGCCTGCAACTGGACCTAATCCAAATCTCACTGAAGTCAATGGAAAAATTACCATTTGATCTAAAGCCCACCAAAGGTAACGGAAAGACTCCCATTGACTTCAGATGTCAATGATGAATTCCCATCATGCGTTTGTACAGCGTCCATCACAACATCCTAGATTTTGATGAGAGTCTATGAAGGCTGCTAGAGACACAAATGATAGTGATGATCCTGGAAAATACATTGACAAATATTTATAGAAATTCTGCTTATACTGATGAAATGCATTTGCTAATCACGCAGGCTGCTGCTGTGGTTGCAGGCAAGTGTTTCAGGGTCAAATTCACAGCATTGCAAAGGGCTTTCTCTCATTGCGTCACCATTAAAATGGTGAAACAAAGGGTTCTCTCAACACTAGCACAGAGCTTTACCTGATCAGTGTCTGTCACACTCTGTGTAGAGAAGGGGACAGCAATTTTGAACACCCTGTTAGGTATCCATGGTACATCACTGCTGCTTGCTATGGCCTTGTAAAAACAGAAGCATTTCTTTACCCCTTCTGTACACAAAGTTGGAGGAAGACCGGCTTTCCGTCATCGAAAGAGACAACCGTTTGCTGCTGGAGAAGATGTCCTGCATCATGAGAACAAAGGGACAAATCGACAACAAAAATGACTATAAGGCCAAAAGGTAATATCAGCAGCACTATTTCTATGTAGTTATCAAGTTACCTTCCCAGTGACAAACATAGCTAAGGATAAACTGCTCTGTGAGGACACGTATTTTAAAAGGCAGCCTAAGGTACAATCAACACTTCAGAAAGCCATTTGCTTGTCCTGTCACATGAAATCCAGTGCCGGGTCATTTTCCTCCTACCCTCTGTTGAAGAGAAGATGGCTTTAAATTAGTTTTTCAGTTTCGTAACTGAGGGAATGAAAAAAAAGGGGGGGGGGAGAGAGAGAGAGAACATTGCCCTACTTTAAGGGAAATAAATGAAGCAAACCTATTATGTCTCAGCAAAGCTGTTGCTCCTGCTAAGTGAGTCATTGCTGCTGACTTTGCCAGTTGTTCCTACAGACACCACCGGAAAGAGGGAGATCCAAAGCTTAGAGATTAAATAAAAACAGAGCAAAAAATAGAATTAAAATTAAAAAGAAAAGTGGAGCAGGAAGCAGGCAGAAATAAAAATATAATTTACTGCTCAAAGGAGACTAAGCAAAATATGCCTTGAGGATTTATCACTAGGGAGAACCACCTTACATATTTTTGATTCAGGAGGAAATTCACACCCTGAATAAGGCACAGAAGACCAGTCAACAGCAGGGACAGGCTTTTGAAGTGAAGAGAATGGTTTTTATAACTCAGGTGGCAGTTGTTACCTCCTGTGATTCATTTACAGACAGACTACTTCATGGCAGACTGACTGCTCATCAGGCCCTAAAGTGTCTCCAGACAGTAAAATGCAGCTCAGGTGCAAATGACCTAGGTAGAACTCGCTACACGTCACCGTCACGAATATCCTGACATTTGCACAGTTCCTTGGGAGACAGAAATTATCTGAAACAGAATTGGTCATGTCCACATCATGCAAATCCACATCATAGCACTTACGGCTTGTCACTAGTGAATAATACCCAGATCAGTGCAGGCGTCGACAAGCATCAGTTAACTCCACTGCTGAAGGTGTGATTCCACAAGATATGGAAGGAGCAGAGCATCCTCCCCCTTTTCATTCCCCCTCTCCCTTTCTGATTCAAGTGGCAAACTCTGGTTGTTTTCTTTGGATCATCTCTGGTTTTCATCAAACCTCTCCATTAGCTAACTAAACTTGAGACAGCAGCACAAAACTAACCCAACAAAAACAAACAAATTTGGATCGTTTTTCTGCCACTTTCTGCAAAGTGATGAATTCCAGGGCTGGTGCAAGGGGTGGAGAAGACCACACAGCTGGGAGAAGTGGGGAGATGAGCAGGGGAAGGAAAAGATCGAGTCCTTCCCTTTTCTGGTGGCAGGAGACCGCTACGAGATCAGCTCAGCTTCCTGGGAAATTACAGTCTACGAAGTCACAGAAAGTTTCCAAGGCATTTGAGGCAGTATGCTTATCTCCGTTATCTTCATGCTTCCCAACTCAGTACATAGGTTTGTACACAAAATACATGTATAAACCAAAGTAACTGAAACTGAGCATTAAGCATTCTCAGACACCGGCCGTGCCCTCACCTACAGTACCGCATTACAGCAATCCAAGACTTGGAGGGTCGGCGTTAATCCAAGATAAAACTAGCATTTTTCCTCTTGTAAAATGTACCAAACCTCCATATAGGCAGGGCTGCATTCAGAAGATACTGAACAAAGACTATCTTCTTAAGAAGGACAAAAGGATTGGGTTGCAAGGGCCAGTTAATGCAGATCAAGGAGGAGCAAGTCCCTGTAGGAGAGGTATAAAACCTTAGGCGAATTTTCCCCTGACAAAAGACTGGCAGATATTTCACATTCTGGGTTCCCAGGCATGGGAACACGAACGAGCATGGAAAAGTTTGACGCTGCTTATATGGTTTTCCTCTCTAGTTTAAATGGAGAAAAAAGAAAGCAGGAGCTGCGGAGAGTGAACCAGGAGAACCGTGCCATTCTGGATAGAATTACAAAGTCCCAGCCTCAGTATCAAGTTCAGCGATGGCATGAGGATTGGCAACGAGCTGAAAAATACATGGCCAACGTTGCGAGATACCCTCGTGGGCGGTGTAAATCACAGAGCCGAAAGGTAGCCCTGAGCTTCTGTTCTTTCCTTCCCAGTTATTTCTGGATCGGAACTGCTCATAGAGCACATTTCACTGCGCTTTTGCGCTGAGGATTAACTGCACGTGGCAGCCAGCCACACAATTAACAGCCTTTCATTTATACAGCCACTCTTATCAAATGAATCCCAGAGTGCTCTTCAGACTTTATTAGGTGATTTGTAAGTGCTGTAGTTTCTACAATCAGACTGTCCACCACAGAGAGATGGTGCTCTCAGAAATAAATTCAAAAATAATTATTAAAAAAAAGAAGCAATGGTTTACCAGTTCCCTGAGAGAAACAGCCAAACACTGCAGCAACGTTTAAGGTGACCAAGGTGGGCATATGCCTTGAGGGCTCCAAAACCTACACTGGCCATTCTGCACAAAGTAACCAGCTTCTTATTTTCATTAGTAACAGGGGTAAAGAAAACAAGAACAGTACAGCTATATGAGGCATTAGCAAGCTTTCCCAGAGAAAGAAAATTGACTGTCTTTAACCTTTCGTGTCCAAACTCCCTGGCTTTGAGGCCGCTAACTCACAAGCTCCCAACTTTCCTCCCAAACAAACCAGAGGGAAACTGCAGCACTGCCCACCAGGCAGGGAGTTGGCATCAGCTCTGCCTTTATCTGTCCTCCCTATCACCTTGGAATACTGGGCCTCCATGGTTGTGTGTCTTGATTTGGGAGGTACGTCCTCTGTCATGCAAGTCTGATTCAATATATATGGGTGTGGCTCATATTCACTATATATATATTCACTACCTTACCCATTACCTCTAGCCTGAGGCCACTGAAATAAATCTTTTTGAAGCCTGCAGTTTCTGAACATATGTAAAAAGATTTTCAAAGGTGTAGCTCATCCAAATCTATCTGAGTCTTTGGGGGACAGTAAGTGGTATTTCTTTTCTTCCAGGACTATCCTTTGGTCCCAGTTCTAATTCCAGAAAAAGCAATAAAAATTGTGGCACTGCAAACAAGAAACAACCTCTCCCCAACTTCTGTCTGGAGACAATTATTGAATACAGCTATATAATTTTTACTAAAGCTTCCCAAAACTATTCAGTCTGAGGCAGAAAGCAAGTATAGAAAGCTTCAACCCAAACAGTTAAGACTTGACAAAGAAACACGCAACTAAAAGAGACGCTTCCACAATGGAAAATATTAGGCAGTTTTAATTGCTGTGGAGGTATCATTACAAACCAAAGAATTATATTAAAAATAGTAAGGTTGTAAAGCCAGGTGCTTCATAACCAGAAAGTACCAAAATTATGGCGAAGTAAACATATCCTGCAACCTTCCGCACATCAGCTGTTAAGTCTGTGCTCTGTAATGAATACGTACTAGAACATCTGTAAGTAGTCACTAGAAAACACCTTTTTCCAGTCTCCATTTCAGAAATGGTTGAGCCATTTTGAAGGACATTTACAGGACAAATAAGCAAACCTGATGTAGATACCTGCTGCAGACTTGTTCAGGTGAACAGAGGAAATCCAGTAAAGTTACAGGTGAAAATAGGATCAGTGGAAGTATTTGGCAAGATGTGCAACAACTTGTGCTACTGGATGACCCCTCTACGCTTTCAGAGTTCACCTGACACCAGTCCACGGTCAACCTTTAATAAATGAGAAATCACGCTGCTTCTCATCAAGCATTCTTCTGCTCTCCCTCTGTTGCAATTTAAAGCTTTTTACTGGTCACAGGTATGCTATAACAGCAGGAGAAAGTGAGAAAGTGAGAATCTTTTTTACATAAGGACATTCTTTACTGATCCCAACTGAAGAAACAATTTATCTGAACTAGCCTACCCACTGGCCTGACTGATGGAAATTGCTCTGTCTCTGGTGGCTCAGGCAGTTCTAATGAATGAAAGAAAGGAATCGTTTCTTTCCTTTGCTCTGGAAGGGGACAGCAGTAGTATCACCAGCAAGCGCTTGTCACCTTTCTTTCTTTGCTAACTGAGCTTTGGTGCCAAAGGAATAATCCTGAAAATAAATCATAGAAGGTTAGCAAATCAAGGCAGCGACAGGTTCTTTATTTTACATATATTTACATTGATTTCTCTTTTCTGGCAGGAAGAACAATTTAAAAAACAAACATCTAAACAAGACAGAAAAAGAGAAAAGCAACTGAAACAAGAAGGTGTGAAAAGTAAGATGAAGGAAAAAGAAAGAGATCATGTCCACCATGGAAAGGGAAAGAACAACTAGAACGAGACAGAGTTCCAGAAATAGCGTTATTCCAGTAGTCTCCTGTGAAAGCAATTTTGGTAGTAGCAAAGGGCTCTTACTCCCTGTTGGGTAACAACAGCATTTGGAAATTTTACTGTCCTCAGCCTTCTGCTTTGCCTTTATTCTGGAAGTCACTCCTTTCCTGGCATGGTGGACCAGCACAACAGGGCGTTGCGAGCCCATTTTGTGATTGCGACCCTGTGCATCAGCATACTTTGATTTCTGTAGTTTAAGTTAAAATACCGCTGTTCCCATGTGGATGATAACTTCCAGCATTGGCAAAGACTGGACTTGTGAGGGTGGTAACCTTTTCAACTACACAGCTAAACTCAGCAAAAATTGTACGCAGAACTACAGAATGAGCTGGGGTGCCTGGGAGAATCAGGTGGAAGGACTCATACAGTTTAGGATACTGGGGGTTTAAGTATTCTGTAAGAGTGTAGATATTTGTCGTGGTTTAACCCTGGCTCCAAAGTTAAAACACTTTGCTACTGAAACACTGGTATGATTACAAGCTAAATACTTGAAACAAAAGAGAACTAAAGTACCACTATAAAAAAGAGTGTTAAGAGTTACAGGAAATGTTAATCTGAGGGTCAAATTCTGCTTCCATTGTCACTATTGTAAATCCAGCCTAGCAGCTTTATCTTTACTGCAATTGCTGTGGATAGAATAACCTTACATTAAGAAACCAGGTCAAAAGAAAACTCATGATGAAGTTTTAAAGATGGCTGGGCTGAGCTTAACTACCAGCTCACTGCCATGGAAAACAAGAGGTCACGCTCCCCCTTTTACCCCTCTCCTTGCGCCCCTCTTCCATTCTGTTTGTCTTACACCAATACATGTGCTCTTTAAACCCCGAGCAAGGTCAGCTCCAGGATAAAAGTCACAAAGGAAAACTTTTTTTTCCTTTTTTTTTTGAAAAGGAGAATGGTTTTCCAGTGGGTTAATGAGTCGAATCAGTTCATTGAAGACAAATTTAAGATTAAGGCCATAGCTGATGCAAGGCAGAAGTAAAGCCACACATTCCTTCAGTAAAGTGGAAAAATAGTTACTCACTGCCTGGCAGTATTTAACACCAAAATAGCTCTCTTAAGGGTCAACAGAAACACATGGAGCCCAGCAAAACGGTCGCAACTCAATAATCCATGTTGGTTACCATGGAAAAATTATGAATATAGACACAATCAGGGTTTGCCCAAGTTAGGAATGACTAATCTGGTATTCAGCACCACCCCCCTTTTAGCTGGACAAACACCAAGTATGAGTGTATTAATTTTATTATTTCTTTATGTTTACCACAATAAAAGGAATATTACTTAAATATTCCTGAATTATTAGGGGTTTGGGTTTGTTTTTTTTTTTAACGTGGAGTTTTTATGATTTCAGGAGAAAACTATTCACCTGGATTTCCAGGCCCTGAGTTTAAGCAAGAATAATGAGTTGAAACCATATTGCCTGCAGTTTAAATAATGAAATAAATAAATAAATCAGGCCTTAAAAAAATGTTGCACTTGTGTTATTGCATTAAAAGTTGTGAAACTAAAATTTGCATTGTGAATATTTTTATTTGCTTTGTAGTTACAGAACATGCAGGGTTCATGTTTTCAAGTTTTCCTTTGCTCTTACGAAGTTAAGAAACCTCCTTTTGAAGGGTTTTCACTTGATGCCCCAGGAGGAACTTGAATTAAAAAAAAAAAGGGAGATACCACAAAAGTTGTAATAAAACTGTAACAGCGAGGATCTTCGTTCCTTCCCAACACTCATATTTGACTCTCCTTGCTAACCTCACTGAAGTCAGCTTAATTGCTCTATGTTTTAAATGTGTTTCTAAAATAAAAGGTAGGGTTTATTTAGAAGGAACGTAGTATGTGTATTAACACACTTAATTTGCATGTGTTTAAAAACTAAATCAGCACAAAAGAAGTGCAAAGAAAGCAGCAGCGTCATGCAGCAACAACTAGAGGTTACCAGGACAGAGTACAGCATAGTGGTTTGTTTATATCTGTGGTTTACACTGTTGATTTGTCCCTTCAGAATTAAAATGCATTTATCCCTCCATACACTCTACTGTGAAGGACAGAAACACTACCTCCACCATAGATATGAGGAACTCTGGCATAAGGGCTACTGTCACGTTAGTCAGAGGGTTGTATTTGCACCTGACTCCAAACTCACCATTCATACGTACTTAAGATCAGTTTGCATTTTAGGACAAACCAACTAGATCGCCAAGCAAAGCAGCTCAGGTATAAGAAGAATTTGAACTCTACTCTTAAATATAATATAAATTTAACTGTCCCCAGCCACTTATGCAAATTCAAGCACATTTACTGAAGTCTGTACACAGATAACCACCGAGTTTGAGGTCCAGGTTCACAAGTCAGTGAGAGGTTGGTGCTGAAAATATCATGTGTGGATGTCACTTCCTTGCCAACATGAGGTCCAGTTATTCCTTTGCTTTTCTACAGATGAAAAGCCGAAGTCTGAACAAACATATGAACCACAATGTGTGGAAGCACTAGAGTTTGTTGGGCTACAGGAAGACACTGCGTAATTTGTCATCCTGAAGTACTGTTACAGCTCTCCAATTTACAAGCTAACTTCTATTGGGACTGCAAACAGTATCAATAAAACCATACATGGGGGAAGATAGGGGACATCAGGAGAAAGAATACCCCCAGGGTGGGAAAGGAGCCTACAGGAAGGACGACGGAGGTATGGTGGTTGCTGGGCTACGGTGTCAGAGGGGCAGG